ACTCACAAACAAAGAGGGACTGGTGGAGGATGTAAAGGTTGGGGGCAGACTGGGCTGCAGCGATCATGAGAAGATAGAGTTCAGGATTAAGTGTAGAATAGACAAAATGACAAGTAGAGTTGAAACCCTAAACTTCAGGAGGGCTAAATTTGATCGTTTCAAAGAATTGCTTGGGCAAATCCCATGGGAAAGGGCTCTAGAGGGTAAGGGGGCTCTAGAGAGCTGGCTGCTATTTAAGCGTCACCTCCTCCAAGCTCAGGATCAGTGCATCCCAAAGAGAAAGAAATCAGGCAAGGGGAGAAGGAGACCTGCTTGGCTGAGCAGGGACCTTCTGAAAAGGCTCAGGTGGAAGAAGGGAGTTTACAATAGGTGGAAGAAGGGGCTGACTGCTTGGGAGGAATACAAGAATGCTGTCAGGGTATGCAGGGAGGAAACAAGGAAAGCCAAGGCAGCCTTGGAATTGAACCTGGCGAGGGATGTCAAGGCCAACAGGAAGGGTTTCTTTAAGTATATAGGAGACAAAAGGAAAACTAGGGAAAATGTGGGCCCGTTGTTGAATGAGACAGGTGCTGTGGTGACGGATGATGCAGAGAAGGCGGAGTTGCTAAATGCCTTCTTTGCTTCTGTCTTCACTGTTCGGGCCAGTCCTTGTGAGACCCCGACTTTGCAGGTAACAGAGAAAGTCTGGGGGAAACAAGACTATCCCTTGGTTGACAAGGAGCACGTTAAAGATCAGTTAGATAAATTGGATATACATAAATCCATGGGGCCTGATGGGATGCACCCTCGTGTGCTGAGGGAGCTGGGGGAAGTCATTGCTGGGCCTCTCTCCATTATCTTTGAAAGGTCCTGGAGGACAGGTGAGGTGCCTGAGGACTGGAGGATAGCCAATGTCACTCCAGTCTTCAAAAAGGGCAGGAAGGATGACCCGGGAAACTACAGGCCGGTCAGCCTCACCTCCATCCCTGGGAAGATGATGGAGCAGCTTGTTCTGGGAGTCATCTCAAAGCACCTGGATGAAAAGAAGATTATCAGAAGTAGTCAACATGGATTCACCAAGGGGAAGTCATGTCTGACTAATCTGATAGCCTTCTATGACAAAGTAACTAGATGGGTGGATGAGGGGAGGGCAGTGGATGTTGTCTACCTTGACTTTGGCAAGGCTTTCGACACTGTCTCCCACATCATCCTCACAGGAAAGCTTAGGAAGTGTGGCTTAGATGAATGGACAGTGAGGTGGATTGAGAACTGGCTTACAGATAGAGCTCAGAGGGTTGTGGTTAGTGGTGCAGAGTCTAGTTGGAGGTTAGTAACAAGTGGTGTCCCTCAGGGGTCAGTACTGGGCCCAGTTTTGTTCAACATATTCATCAATGATCTGGATGAAGGGATAGAGTGTACCATCAGCAAGTTTGCTGATGACACAAAACTGGGAGGAGTGGCTGACACGCCAGAAGGCTGTGCTGCCTTACAGCGTGACCTCGCCAGGCTGGAGAGTTGGGCAGAAAGAAACCTTATGAAGTTCAACAAGGGTAAGTGTAGGGTACTGCACCTGGGGAGGAATAACCCCATGCACCAGTACAGGTTGGGGGCTGACCTCCTGGAGAGCAGCTCTGTGGAGAGGGACCTGGGAGTCCTGGTGGACAACAGGATGACCATGAGCCAGCAATGTGCCCTGGCGGTCAAGAAGGCGAATGGCATCCTGGGGTGCATCAAGAAGAGTGTGGCCAGCAGGTCGAGGGAGGTCATCCTCCCCCTCTACTCTGCCCTGGTGCGACTGCATCTGGAGTACTGTGTCCAGTTCTGGGCTCCCCAGTTCAAGAAAGACAGGGAACTGCTGGAGAGGGTCCAGCAAAGGGCAACGAAGATGATTAGGGGACTGGAGCACCTTTCTTATGAGGAAAGGCTGAGGGACTTGGGTCTCTTTAGTCTAGAGAAAAGAAGATTGAGGGGGGATCTTATTAATACATACAAATACTTAATGGGAGGATGCCAGGGGGATGGGAGTAGTCTTTTTTCAGTGGCACCCAGTGATAGGACGAGGGGTAATGGGCATAAACTTGAACATAGGAAGTTCCATCTTAACATGAGAAGGAACTTCTTTACTTTGAGGGTAGTGGAGCACTGGAACAGGCTGCCCAGAGAGGTGGTGGAGTCTCCCACTCTGGAGACATTCAAAACCCGCCTGGACGCTGTCCTGTGTAACGTGCTGTAGGTGACCCTGCTCTGGCAGGAGGGTTGGACTAGATGATCTCCAGAGGTCCCTTCCAACCCTAACCATTCTGTGAATTCTGTGAACAGCAGGCTTGAAATCAGAAGACTTTGGTTAGCCCACAGTTTCCCCAGATAGTCTCCCAAGTCGTCATCCCAAGTGGCTTCTGCAGCATACAGAAAGATGAGTAGGAGCAAAGAGAGACAGATGATAAGTAGCTCTATCCTATCTAGAGGGCATTATCAAGTGAATACCTAAGTACACCTAGAGCTCTGCTCACAGGTGTCAGGGCCCTGAGGCTACTGATAGGTCTTAATGGCCCTAAACAGCCTCACCGGGGTCTCCACCCACACCCCCAACCCCGCCCCTATTTAAACTCTGTCTGGGGCCTTCAG